CAGAGCAAAGATACATCTCTTTCAAAAGTGGCTGTAATTTTTAGATTCACAGCTGAATTAATACAGTCATACAATATTGAACTCAGTATAAACCCTGTAAAACATAAAATTCGAATGAGGTTTTACCCTTTAAAGCCAATCTCCATTTCATTTTAAGATATGCTGTTTCTTACATTTTTTAATGCTACTAACACATGTTTGCACATACGTCTTTAATCTCTATGTATCTGATTATTAGTAGTCATGGTCGATTATACTTGGCTCCTTAGTACCTGAGTATGGATATAAAGTCATCAGGTAGATTTCACTGGTAATGTTTGTCACCTCTACTATTTAACATGAAGTAAATTTTTATGCTTCCTCTTCAAACATGTCTTTTTTAAATTTGTTGATTTTTTGTGTGTGTGTGTGTATCTCATACGGAACATCTTATTCATCTATATACTCACTTCCCAAATGGCACCCTCCCATAGCCTCTCCCGTCCCACATATTGAGCACATACAGATTTAACATATTCAGTATCACATTTCAGAGCAAGAGTACATCTCTTTCACAAGTGAGTTCAAGTTTCTAGGTTCACAGTTGAGTTAATACAGTTATACAATATTGAACTCAGTATAAACCCTGCAAGACATAAAATTGAATGAGTTTTAACCCTTAAAAAAATCTCCATTTCATTTTAGAATATATTGTTCCTTGCAGAAAGACTCATTGTTTTTGCTACTAACACTGAGATGTTGGCACATGCATCTCTAATCTGTATGTATCTGATTGTTACTAGTCATAATTGATACAACCTATTCTTATCCTTACAAGAGCATGAATAGGCAGAGTACTGTTTGTTATACTTGGGTCTAAATAATTGCAGACTGTCTCCATTTTTTCATTTCAAGAGACTGACCAAGATAGAAGTATCTTGCCCAAATTACAAAAGAGTTATTATGCTAACTTAGAACTTTTATTACATAATCCATATTCTTTTTGCCGTGCTAGTTTTAGATGAGGAAAATATAACTGAAATGATAATTTTACTCTGCCTAGTAAGCCAAACAAAGCTTGTCTTCTTAATTTACCTACAAATTTCAACTATTTGGAGTTAACAAGCTAGAAATAAGGAAAAGTTAACGTTAACTTTCACTGAAAACATGAAAAGATTAGAGTCATATTTTAGTTATTTTTTTAAAGTAATACTACTTGTCATTTAATGATACGGGTTTGACTGCCCACAGATGATGAAGAAGGGGATTGTTGAAACACCCCAGGATCTTGAGCACAGGAACTCCTTGAGGTGTTCCATGCAAGCTATGATGTACAGGCACAGTTCTTTTGTTCATTTTTTGTTTTCATGCTAGGCAAGTTTCTACCACTGAACTGTATCTCCAGCTAGACATGGTTCTTGCAGACACCCAGGATACTGATATTTGCAAGTATCATTCAAGAGATGAAATCTCTGTTAGTAAAATGTGACATACCCCGATGCTAAGAGAAGCTATTTTTCTAAAATGTGTTCTTATTTGACCCCTCTTTGATTTATCACTGACTTGCCCAGAGTTTTCTTTGCATAGTATTATGTACTTTTATAATTTGGAATTTACCAAGCATACATGGAGAGTTTTTTAAAAATAGATAATTTTGTTATTATTTCATTTCATCTTTTACAAATCCATTTGATTTCCTCTCCCCAGACTAAATTCACAATAGCAGCAGGTTAGGTTCTGGTTATTTCTCTGGTTTATTTAAATTTATTTGCAGGATCTATATCAACTTTAATGCTTCAAAAACACTGAAAGTGTTACTGGAACATGTCTCCATCACTGGATGTCTATTATCATCAGAAAACCAGTTTGCCGTATGCTTTGTTCTATATACAAACAGATTTTCCTAAAGAAAATTTGGAATATATCAAGTTAAAAATCTTCTTTCAAATCCATATTCCTTAAGGAAAAGAATCTTTTGTTAGTAGCAAAATGAGATTTTACATCTGAAAAACTAATGCTGATGCTGAAAATGTAAATTCAAGTTCAATCTTGAAAATCAGCCCCCAGCTTGGAGTAAACTCCTCTGTCTTAATAGTCATTAGGAAGGCCTACACTCCTGGAGAGCAGGGCCCCTGAAGTCTCTCTGATTTCTGAGTTCCTGAGAACTACTGGTACAGGATTCATGTATGCCAAGTATACATTACATACTTGCCAAATGAATGACCAATTCATTTGGTCATTGGTTCTTGGTCTTAAGATTCATAAGAGCCAAGAGGTCCATGGTGTCATCTGGTACCAAATCTTAGTCTGAATCCATGGACTGAGCCCTGCCAGTTTTGTAGCTGCAAGGAATGGCTTGGGTAAGTGTGAAGCCAGCTTGGCGTCTCCATAAAACTAACTACAGCAAATTGTCCAGTGTTGCCATGTAATAAATTAACTTCAATTGCTTCTATCTAGGCGCCCACATTTAGTAACACAGAAAACATGCCTGGGAGATTTTTGGAAATCAAAAAGATTTCTTTTCCCAAGGAGAGAAGTGTCAAGAAACAGTAAATTAGAAATAATTTTACATAACTGGAAATTAACATATGATTATTACACTTTTGATATAAGTAGATTTTTGCTACAAGTTAGGTATGTTTTAGAACTAGTCCCTGGGGTCTTGCTTGATGGAATAAACAGCTCAAATAAATAACAGGTGCTTACCCAGTGCTTTGAGAACAGGGCAAGCTGTGCTTTGAACTGGTTTAATTTAGTAGCCTGTTACTAGGCTGTGTTTGGTGACTTGCTCTTCCCTTTGAGTCATTCCTGGATTTGTTGCACTAAGATCAGAAATAAAGTTGTAGTATTGTTAGCATACTCTGTAAAACATGTGATGCCTTTCCTAGTAGAAGAAATTCCAACTCAGATTCTGACATTGCACTTAATCATTTGCCCTGGTCCCTGTTCTCTGATAATTTTACTCACCCATATTTCCATCTCCTTGAGTATCTCCACTCAAATGAATCACACCCCCATCCAAAAAGGATACTGTTACAAATAATCTTTTTATAACTCTCCCACTGGGGGATTATTTTTAGCATGTAAATAATTGCATCACATATTTTTTAGAAATGAAGACAGTCTTAAATTTATTACATTTCATATTTGTTTCAGAAGAAGTGATTTGTAATCTTCAGTTACTAGTGTTTGGGCTTGCTTTATGTTTCATATGTTGAAATCCTTACCTCAAGGAAAGAACAGCATGAAACCATACTATAGAATCAGTCTTTAAACCTTGTGTGTTCTAATCACTTCAGGAACTTGATTGCATTACTGAGCACAATTCTGAGTGCTTTTACCCTAATCTGAGGTGACCACAGGACAACGTGCAGTTTGAAAGATGTGTGGTTTCAACCCCAGAAAGGATTGAGCCATTGATTTAGAAGTTTGTTCAACTGATAAAATAGAGTGTAATGTAAAACAGAAAATGGCTGCCTTTTTGACTCCCTGCTCTGAGTCTCCTGCATATATTTTGTTGAAATAACAATGACAAGAGTTAACCTTTTTTGCATAAAGCATCTAATCTGCATGCTAATTAAATGTGAACCGAATGTGGCATAAGTTCTTAGTTTTGAATGAAAGCCTTGATAATCTAGTATGCTATGATTTAGATAAGGCCCTTATCAAATATAAATTTATACATAATTTTAGAATATTTTAAACTATTATTAGCACCAGAACAAGGCAGGGAAAAAAATCTTAAGTTGGTCATTTAAAACTTTAATAGCTCCAAACAGAGCTCATTATTAATTATTATAGTCAATATTTGTACAATTTGACTTTCTTCTCTTCCTTCTATTGATGATGAAAATCATGCTTTAATCTTTTTTGTTTTGTTTTGTTTTTCTAATGCTGTGAGGATGATGGATTAATAATTTATGATATACATTTTTTTCTTTGGGAAAGCAGATGACTATCATGAATTTTTAGCAAGAAAATAAAGAAAAAGAAGAACTAGAAATTATTCGTAGAGTATCAGAGTTCTTTTTAAGCTCTATCAACTTTGTGTAATTGTTTAATATATACTTGTAAAGATTTTTAGGGCTAAAATGACATCAGTTCAAAGTTGACTCTTATTACCTTCTCCCTGCTGTGAAGATGAGCCCTTCTACCCAACTCCTCTTGACCAAGGCAGTGAACAGCCTCTTTTCCAACCCCTGGATCATCAAGCCACAAGTGTACCTTCAAGGGGTGAGCGTACGTTGTCTCAGGTGGTCGCTCCTCCCACCTGCACGGCTTCCTGCAGTTGTGTCACTTCTTGCAAATGTTCTGAAGATTAGTGTAAGAGTGGCCAGCCTCAGCCTGAGCACAGGAGGCAAACAGTGGGAGTTGTCACCTGGTGCTGATTCTCTGAGCCCTGGAAAGCATGGAGCCTGCACTCTCCTTTTACTGTGTCAAGTGTCATTGCTTTTCCTCTTCTTTCTGAGTTTTGAAACATTTTCCAAAAATCAGAAAACTAGATAATCTTTGTTTTCATATATAGGTGAAACCAGGAATTCCAAAGCAACTAAGTTTTGGGTTTTGATGGCTTTTTCCAGGTAGATTTTAGAAGTATTTAGTCCTCTTCCTCTCCACTACCTGAGGTATACAATTTTAGGTTTATCTGGAACTCAAATCACATTTTAGTGTCTTTGTTTAGGCATGCACATTGTAATGTCAGAAAGCCTAAGTGCTGGTTCCAATAAACTGCTTCTGAGCAATCCATTTAAAGTATTTGAGTCATAGCAGCAGTCAGTAGGGTTAATTCCTGCCCTGTTTGCCTGTGGAGTTGGTATAAGAATAGGATCACCAAAAGCTTCAGGGTGCTGGAAAATTCTGTAGGCAAATAAGGTGGTAGGAGAACTTTACAGTTCTAATTTTTATCCTAACCTACCCATAGGCTTAGGACAGAACTTAGAGTGACTGAAATAGCTTATTAATAAATTGTCTCTTTGCTGAAAGACAACTTACTACATTTGTACATGTTCTTCACAAAGAGGACAATGGGGTTAATTTCAGAGATACTCATAATCTAGATAAAGTTATGGCAGTTGATATGTTGACATCTGTTCACCTATGCTTTACTTCAGTCAGACAAAAATGTAAAAGTTAGATTTTTCAAAATATTCAAAACTGTGTACAGTTTAAGCATTAAGGTGGGGGGAGTCCAAATGTGTTTAAATGAATAGAAGTCATTTTCTTCAAAACTCCAGTGGGCTATCTTATTTAATGAGCCTCTTAGTTTTTTTCAAGATACTTAAAGTGTCTGCATGCTACCTTCTGATTCTTATTTCCTAGTCTAATAATGCTATGCAGCTTGCATTTCCTTTCTAGACCAGCTCCCTTCTCACCCCTACTTTTCTCCTTCGAGCTCCTGAATCCACCAACCTGCTTAAATGTACCCCTGATAATGTTCTTTATATGAGTTATATGCGTAATACTTAAAGCATTTGAATCTGATTTTTTTTAAAACTTTATCTTTTGGTAAAAGATACATGATAGAAATAATGAAAATTTTATTATGCTTACATTATATGCTACCAGGGTAAGAGTAAACTCAAAATAAAAACACTGAAGTTTATTTCTAGATCTCTTATCAACTTTTAAAATTTATTTGAAACAGTATGGATCAAGAAGAATTTTTATGCTTGTTATTATAAGGGCATTCACCATCAGTTGAAAATGTCATTTAATGAGCTTACTGATTGGCTAGACAGGCTGGCCAGCAGTTCCCAGGATCCTCTTGTCTCCATCTCACAGCTTTTAAATGTGAGAGTTGGGGAGCCAACTCTGGTCCTTGTGCTGACATAGCAAGCACTTGACCCATTGAGCCATCTTCCCTGCCCTGATTTTGTTTTAATGGCAAAAAAAAAGTCATTAAAAATTTCTGACATTTATCAGAGTACATATTAACTAATTTTATAAGGTGCATTGGGTCAAAAAAATAAGGTAGCATAATTGTAGAATAAAAAGCTTCAAGAAAATTGAGGGAAAACGTTCCTCATTAGGGCAGTAGATGCATTTAATCTTTTGACTCTCCTTGCTTCATCAGAGTCTGTTATTTGGTCAGTGTTGATAAGCAGATGGCTAGGACCCTATTTTGTAATGTGTACAGTGGTCTTGGTAAAGGTCCTTGTAAAGTTTTCAGGCGATATCTACTTGAGGCAGATAGGGCCAGGCAGTCTTCAGGGATAGTGACACCAGCCACCTGTCAAGTGAATGCCACCAGTTCATTAACAGCTGTTAGAGTACCATTTTCTCAAATTTCTTTCCAAATACTTGAATACTTGCATACCAGGTTAATAACAGGCACTACAAACAATGTCTCCCCATTTACCATTTCAATGCTGTCTGCATTCCTCTTTCATATTTTTCATAGAGTGATTCCCAGATTTTTTAAAAAAATTATAACAGATTTGTTGGTTTTTATTTCCTTTCAGCTTTATGATTCCTAACCCTACTGTACTTTTCCCATGGGAAAGGAGAGAAAAATTTAGACTAAAGCCAGTCTTTGAAACCACTGGCAACCAAGCCTGGTTTAGGAAGATCCCGTAGCTCTCCTAGGGGGCCCATCATTGACCAGCATTGGAGCCAGCTTGTAGAAGAGTGGCCTCAACTAGGCTTCAGCTTCCACCAGTGTCTGAAGAAATTGCTATGAGTGTTAAAGACTGTGAGCTGCCTGGAGCTATAAACAGCTGGCTAGTTCCCCTGAAGAACCCACAGAAGTTTCTGATGTGATCTAAAAACAAACCTAGGGAATCTTAATTGACACTTAAAAAACCATTGATAGCCTTCTCTTGAAATACAGAATTAAATCTTATTCTATGCTTTGTTGTACTGACCTGTTACATGCTTTTTGAGCACAGAAAAAAAAATCTTTAAAGCACAAAGATGTTCTCTTACACGCAGATTTGCATTCTTCTTACTCTGATATCCAGGGACTCAGCAAGGTCAGGGTCACTTCAGGAGTGCTAGTAACATTTTTTAGAAGATGAATAGTTTCCCTGACTCAGTTGTTTAATAAAATTTCAAATACACGCTAGAAGAATGTGGTTAGGGGAGAGACTTTTTCTCTCAGTCATTCCTTCTTGATTACTACTTCATTCAGCAGAGGGAGAAATCAACTTTTTTGATACTATAACCTACCGATCACCTTCTATGAGGAAAGGTTTTTTTGAAAAACTTAAAATGTGATTCTGTTTTGAAAACCCTTGCCTGAGCAAGAGACAGTAAAGTAGAGAATGGAAGAAAACATAGGGCATGACAAAGGCATTTCCTTTATTTATTTAACCTTTCTAGAACTTGCTCAGCTAGGGGTTTGCTTACAGTTGTGTTAAGAGCAGAAAAAAAGACCAATTTGAAAAGTCAATAAGATATGAAAATATTCTTAGATGCAATGATTATTTGATGACTTTAAAACATAATGTAACTGGATGTTTAAGAGAAATATTAAATAATCTAGAAAATGAGGTGAGATTTAACTTTGATTAGATTTGGAAACAACTTTGTAAATAGATGCATTGTCTATGTTTTTATTCAGTGACATGGATTAATTGATCATTGAATTATGCTAATCAGGTACTTGGCTGGCATTTCCAGACAAAATAAACATGGGGCCACATTTCTTTTTAATGAAGTCTATATTATGGCCATTACTAGTTCTGTGTTTTTATGCCATTGTGAATTTTATGTTTACTTGAGGCAGTGTTCAACTTGTGCTGGAAAACTTTTATACTATGGAATTCATTAGTTTCACATTGATATTTAAAACAATAAGCATAAAATATGTAATGATGTTTTGTCCATTAGTATTTCCATATGCCCTCCTTAACTGCCAAGTGAGTAAATGTGCTAGAGAGCTATTAAAAGATAATTTTGTGACTTGAGTGGTTTGCTGAAATAGGAAACTGAATTTTCTTCTTTAATCTGAAGTCAGTGCGGTTTTTTTCCCTCTGAAAACATAGCTGTCTGTTGAGAGGGTCAAAACAGTCTAATGTTTTAACATTCATGTTTTCTATGAAGTAAAAGCCTTATATGCAGTATCCTCTTTAAACAGAAGGCCAGGCCAGGAGAGAGCAGGATCCATTATCAGAAGGATGCTAGTAGTAGAACACAGCAGTTTTGAGCGTATTGGCAGTCAGATAGATAGCAGAGTGTCACTGCCCATCAGGTGAGGATGCTGCTCTTTGCAGGGATGCGAGGGCAGGTGTGTCTGTGAGGAGAGCCCTCCCAGCTGCCCCCACCAATAGAGATACATGAAGGTCCCAGCAACCCTGTTGCCTCTAGTGTAACAGTCAAGTTAAAATGGCATGAACAAGCTTATTTATGTAAGTGATGGTTTTGCTATATCTTGACTCATTTTTTCTCTACTTTTATGCATTGAGAAGCACTTTTAACATTTGACATTGTGCCAGGGTTTGTTATTTTTCTTCTTTAACCCATATTCTTTTCAGATCTAAATGAATGTGGCCTGAAGCCTCGGCCCTGTAAGCACAGGTGCATGAACACTTTTGGCAGCTACAAGTGCTATTGTCTTGAAGGATATATGCTTATGCCGGATGGGTCCTGCTCAGGTATGTCAAGAATCTTAACTGTTTTATAAGTGCTTTGGGCTTGATTTTTTACATGCTCTGGTTACCTGCCTTAGGAAAAGAGATATCTTGAGCCCTCCTGAACAGGATGTATGCGTGTGTGTATGTGTGCCTGTGGAACTGAGAAAATCAAAATAGGAGGTGCACATTTTAGATGTATTTACTGTAAGTACCAACATTAAATTGATTTACAAATTGTATTTAGAGCAAGAATCACATTTTCTAATGCCTTTCCCAACATGCTTATTTAAGTTTTCTCCTGGGTCTGGAAGGACCTTTCCAGGTTGAATGTTAGTGATTATTGGGGCATTGCTTACAATCCATTAGATATGTTGTGTCATTGTAAATATTCATTTTTATATTTCTTGATCATAAAAATTATAATATAATATCAGAAAAGCAGATTTTTTTAAACAGATTTTTTAAAAAAGAGGGTGTTATGTGTCCCAGGCTATCCTCAAACTTGCTATGCAGCTGGGGGTGACTTTGAATGTCCGATTTTCTTGCTTCCCACCTCCACCTCCTGAGTGCTGAGACTGCAGGCATGCATTGCCATGCTTGGTTTTATGAGGTGTTGGAGATTGAACCCAAGGCTTCATGCATGGGGGCAAGCACTCTGCCAACTGAGTGTCACCTCCAATCCTAGAAGAGTAGATTTTATGTGTGGCTTTATAAGAAAGGATTATGTGGTGTTTCCTACTGTCATTTGGATGTGGATTTTTAAAAATTTATTTTCATGTTGTGTGTATGAGTGTTTTGCCTGCATGTATGTAAGTTCACTCGTGTCATACAATGCCTGAGCAGACCAGAAGAGGGCACAGGATCCCCTGGAATTGGAGTTATGAATGGTTATTAGCTGCTGTGTTAGCTGGGAACTGTACCTGGGTTCTCTACAAGAGCAACCCCAGTGCTCTTAATCACTGGGCCATCTCTCCAGTCCTTGATATGTTTTTGTTTTCGTTATTTTATTTTATGTGTAAGTGTGTATTGCCTTCATGTGCACCCACATTGTGCAATGCCCAGGGAAGACAGAAGAGGCTGTCAGATCCCCTGGAACTGGAGTTACAGACAGTTTTTAGCTGTCATGTGGGTGCTGGGATATAAACCCAGGTCTTCTGCAAGAACAGTCAGTTTTCTTAACCGCTGAGCCATCTCTTCAGTCCCCCCTCGATATTTTTTTAAATGAACAAGACCCTAAAATTTCTGCAGGCTGAAAAACTGAATTGAACTTGAGTTTATATGATAAGCAGTAGTGACCTGATTTTTATTTTTACCAAATTACCAGTTAACTAAATTGAATGTTATAAGAAAAAATAGAGTAGCTAATTTTATTTAGTGCTTTATAAATATATCAATGGAACTTTTTGGTTGACAAGAGTACATGTTTAATTGTATGTGACCATGATTCTAGAGTCCCCTAACATTGTGGGCTCATTGGGAAATTTCCTGTCCTATAGAGAAATTTAAGATGTAGCTGAGACTATTAATTGGATGTTTTAGTTAAGAATAATACTGAGCTTGAGTATTCTGGAAGAAATATCAATTCTATCTCCATGTCCAGATATCTATGTCAGATAAAGCTTTATATTTGTCCATTAATTCTTTTAAGACATTAAAGGATTTCTCTAGATCATGATGAACTGGTTCCTGTCTCAACTGTCCCTGTGTCAGGGAGCATCTTTCCTTCCCCTGAATTTTAGAATGTTGATTGAGGTGTTGAATCACTGTCACAGATCTCAGAATGTGTGGAAATAGCACTTAATTATGAATTTTGTTTTCCAACTCTTGGAGTCAGCCAGACACTCTCTTTCCAGGTACCCTGTCATGTTCCATGGCAAACTGTCAGTATGGCTGTGATGTTGTCAAAGGACAAGTGCGATGCCAGTGTCCTTCCCCTGGCCTGCGGCTAGCTCCTGATGGGAGGACCTGTGTGGGTAAGTTTTCTCATCAGGCATCTTGTGAGTAACCTCTGAAGGGTTAAGAAAGACAGTGGAAGGAATAAGTGGAAAAGTTACTTAATTAGGTTCCTGACAGAAGATACCAGATGTTTCAGAAAAGGACTTCAGTGAATGAACCATTAAAACCTTGTTTTGAAACCTGAGGGACAAGAGGAAGCTTCAGACAGAGGGAGCAGTGTATACAAAAGCGCTGAGGTTTAACAGAGCACTGTGTTCAGGAAAATAAGACCTCAGTATTTCTAGAATCCAGAGGGCAGGAACAATGAACAGATCAGTGGATCAAGATTATTATATGTGTTGTGCCACAGGGGTTCAGTTATTTTCCAGAATGTTAAGATGGTAGTACAGAATTATGGTGGAGTTTGTGCTTTCTTTTTTTTTAATATTTTATTATTTTTATGTGTATGCATGTATTGCCTGCCTGTAGGTAAGTGTACCCATGTCATACAATCCCCGGGGAGGTCAGAAGAGGCTGTCAGATCCCCTGGGACTGGAGTCACGGAGTTGTTAGCCACCATGTGGGTGCTGGGATTCAAATGCAGGTCTTGTGCAAGAACAACCAGTGTTCCTAACCACTGAGCCATCTCTCCAGCCCCAAGTTTGGGCTTTCTAAACCTGGCTGTGCCACATACTAGCTAGGTAACCTTGGTTAGGCAAACGACTTCCTTTCTTTGAGCTTGGGTCTCCTTTTCTTTAAAATGGAAATAATGCTACATAGAACCATTGTGAGTATTGAATGAGATCGTATGTTCAAAGAACTCAGTGCAGTACCTAGCATGTGGTGAGCACTGTGTGGAGGTATGTGCGAATTAAGAGATACTTACTGAGTAGCTTCTGTGTTCCAGACAGACACTGTGCTAGGTGCTGGATATACAGCAATGGACAAAAGCACTCGAGGTTTTGATCCTCATGAAACTGACTTTCTAGAGGGAAAGACAGAAAGTAAATAAGTACTCAATGAAATTACTGACCATATGGGCTGGAGAGATGGCTCAGTGGTTAAGAATACTGGTTGTTCTTGCAGAAGACCCAGGTTTGAACCCTAGCACCCACATGGCAGCTAACAACTGCCTGTAGCTTCAGTTCCAGGGGATCCGATGGCCTCTTCTGTCCTCCCTGGGCATCGCACGACATGGGTGCACATACCTATATGCAAGGCAATACACTCATACACATAAAATGAAAATAATAAAATATTTTTTAAAAAAGAAATTACTGACCATACTAAGTATTAACATGAGGTAGTAAGAGAAACAAAACCAGAAAGGTCTGCTTAGAAAATAATCATCAGGGAAAGCTCTAAAGAAAGACCTGGGCCATTAGTCACATAAAGAATCTGGCAAGAGGCAAAATGCTTTGAGATAAGATTGACAGAGAAAAGCCCAGTTTGGAGAATTCTCATCTCAGTCTAAGGCAGGAGATGGTGGGCTAGGAACAGGGTCAGGGAGGTGGATGAGAGGCTCTAATAATTTTTCAGAGGTAGGAGTATCTGGATTTGATGGTTTAGGAGTTATTGGGAAGAGGATTGGCAAGGCCCAACTCATGGTTCTAGCTCAAGCAACAGCATAGTATGTGCTAATGCTAGGTGTGAGAAAAAAGCTAGGTTTAAGAAGATGAGTTGAAAGTTATAGATGTGGAATATATATTTGTAGCAGTTGTGATGTGCTTCTATGTGCCAGCAACAGTTTGCAGTTGTTTTAGAACCCACCCCTTCCGAATATGACTTTGAGCTTCCTGAAATGCAGTTAACTTATGTTTCTAGATATCGATGAGTGTGCTACTGGGAGAGTCTCCTGCCCTCGATTTAGGCAGTGTGTCAACACATTTGGGAGTTACATCTGCAAGTGCCATAAAGGTTTCGACCTCATGTACATCGGAGGCAAATATCAATGTCATGGTGAGGAAACTCCCCATCCCTTTCTATTCTTCTATAACATTGGGAATCTCTAACTGTTGTAATGGATAGGAACAGGGGAGGGTAAGGGATTAAATTAAACAAACCACCCAGGGTCTGGTTCTGGGGGCCACCTGCACTTTATTCCTCTGTTTACTGCTGTTTTACATGAACCTTTGCCTTGGGGGAAAAAGGAAATCATTTTGGAACTGGTACATATTTCATGTCATTGTATTTGTCCCCACTTGTTTCCGACTCCCTGACACAGATATTGACGAGTGCTCCCTTGGGCAGCACCAGTGCAGCAGCTTTGCTCGGTGTTACAACATACACGGGTCCTACAAGTGTAAATGCAAAGATGGATATGAGGGTGATGGACTGAACTGCGTGTGTGAGTAACGCTTGTTCCCACTCAGCTCCAGCAGGAAATAGGGGTTGTGTAATGCCATTGCTAAGGAGGATAAGGAACCTCATTAACAAAGTCCTATGATTTTCATGCATACTGTTAGTTCGTTTTCTACATGCACTAAAGTCACTTGTTAAGGTAATTTTTAAAAACTAGAAAAGACCCATTAATACAGTCTAATCTTTTAAAAAATATTTTATTGTTTTTATTTTATGTGGTATGCGTGTATTGTCTACATGTAGGTAAGTGCACCTGTGTTGTGCAATGCCTGTGGAGGACAGAAGAGACTGTCAGATCTAACCACTGAGCAATCTCTCCAGCCCCAATACATTCTAATCTTAAGTCTTAGGATTTCTTGACTAAAATCTCATAGTTGCTTTGATTCAGTTAGGAAAAAAGTATGGAGGCCTTCTGGAGAATTTGATTCTGTTAAATCTGAAATAAACGTCTGCCATTAGCATTACATCATGATAATCAGAATATACGCCATTTTTGTTTTCCCTGTTTTGTGCCTCTTAACTCTACTGTTGAACATAATTTCAATGTTTATTCCCACTGTATTCAAAACTGCTTTGCTTTTAAATATTTCATAAATTATATTTGGAGTGATAGGTTACTAAATGAACATGAGAAATGCATGCTCTTGAAGATGAAAGTTTTACAAACCAAAGGCCATCATTTACCATACATTTCATGTAACACTAGATAATTTTTTAAGTTTTCTGAGTAAAATATTTACTGAAAACCACAAGGCATAAAATCCTGTGTATTAAAGTGTTCTTGAAGTGTGTGAAGTCATTCCTAGTCCAGAGTGTATCATCCCAGAGAGATTAAATATTGATTCTTTTTGGTGAAGCTTATCAAGGCAAAATATTCCACACATGATTTTTTTTCACTTCATAAATTTTCTTTTTACAAAACAAGTATGAATTAGCAAATGTGAAGGAAAGCCAACTCTAAAGCAAACTGGTTTACACTACTTGAATATATATAACACGTAGCTGAGGAAAGTATTAGTCCAGTTTGGACAATTCTAAACATAGTTTTATACTATATATGCAGGAGGGGGGCACAGCAGAGACTGTATTTCTTACACAGAAAATAAAACATAATGTCCACATTTTGAAAAATACTGATTTCTGTTACTACTGCTTTACAAATATTGAAAACATTTTTGTGTTTCAAATAATACATATTTATATATTTATTGCATTCATCCTAAAACACACACATCTGCTATTCAGAAAATAGCGTGACTTATTGTCAGGAATAATCGAAATGTAAAAACTAGGACTACTTGGCATGAGATGTGTCTGTGCATGTGTTTTGCAATTTGTTGTTTCACTTTTTAGACAAAAATGGTTTCATACAATTTAAATCTTTGGATTTTTTCAGATATTCCCAAAGTCATGATTGAACCTTCAGGTCCAATTCATGTGCCAAAGGGAAATGGTACCATTGTGAAGGGTGATGGAGGATATGCTAATAGGATTCCTGATGTTGGAAGTACTAGGTGGCCTCTGAGGACACCCTATATTCCTCCCGTCATTACCAACAGGCCCACTGTTCAGCCAACATCCAGACCTACACCAAGACCAACACCACAGCCTACTCCACCACCCCCACCACCCCTGCCAACAGAGCTCAGAACACTTCCCCCTCCAGCAACCCCAGAACAGCCATCCATCAGACTGACTACTTTAGCACCAGCTACCAGTACATCTATAGGAGGGCTTACAGTTGACAACAGGATACAGACAGATCCTCAGAAACCCAGAGGAGATGTGTTCAGTAAGTCATAAAATTATTACCTTATGTATGTGAATGTTTTACCTATATATGTGTAAGTGCACCACATGTATACATTGCTGGTGGGAGGCCAGAAGATGGTGTCAAATCCCCTGGTACTGGAGTTAGCTGCCATGTGGGTGCAGGGAACTTAATCCAGGTGCTCTGCAGAAGCAGTTAAATGCTCTTAACTGCTGAACCACTCCAGCCCCAATTTTTATCTTTTTTTAAAGATTTTTTTATTTTTTATTATTTAATGTGTATGTGTATCTGCCTACTTGTCTGTATGTACACCACATGTGTACAGGTGCTTGCAGAAGTCAGAAGAGAGTGTTGGATCTCCTGGAACTAGGGTTATAGGCACTTGTGAGCTGTGTGATTGTGGGACCTGGGAACCACTTGTGAGCTGCATGATTGTGGGACCTGGGAACTGAATCAGGGTCCTCTGCAAAAGCAGCAAGTGCTCTTAGCCACTAGACCATTTATTCAGCCTCTGATTATTGTCTTCTAATAGGCCCTTTAGGATGATGTTCAGCCCTAGGCTGTATTTTATACAAAGTCCAATTTACTAAAAGATAGTTGTATAAGGTCATACATCCGTGGTGATGCATGGTATAAAAATCTGTGTAAAGAGCCAGTGTGGCTGGGCAAGCAGAAAGGAGCATGTAGAAATGATACGACTCTCACAAAGTCATCTGGCAGATCACAAATCTTACCCAGTGTAGGAATTCTCCTAACATAGTTGGCTTCATTTGAAAACTCTCAAAAGTGAAAACCTTACTGTATTTAATGCTATTTATCTTTTCCTTTAATGAATATTTTTGAGCATCCTTTAGAATGCAAAGCCATGTTAGGCATTGGGCTTACAAAGATAAAACATAAAAGGTTACAGTCTATAGTCATTCAGTAGTTCCTGTGGCACTATACTAGTGAATGGGATTTATGTAGGCCAGTATAGGAATCAAGTGAAGGGGTACCTAGTGAGATTTTGGATATGGAGCGCTCAGGGATTCTTGGGTGAAACTGGGCAAAGGGAGTGAGGAAAGGGAGACATTATGGTTAATGGAGGCAGAAAGCAAAGACACAGAAGGAAGGAGCAGAATGGAGTATGCAACTGCCAGTCAACTGGAGGAGCACCTCAGGGAGGTGCAAGGTGGGACACCTACCTCTCATCCTGGCTCTTAGCTGGCATAGCATGGAGCTGGATCACAGTCAAAATGCCCAGCCTTTAACATGTGACTGGGTAGAGGGTGTAACCAGCAGTGGAGACAAAAGCCATGGGAAGGAAAGCAAGCTTGGAGGAGGGAAAGATTGTTCCCTTGTTACCAGATTAAAATTGGCATCATCACACCGTTAGTCACTTTGCTTATTTTTAGCTACCTGTACATTCACAGCTTCTTGTTTCCTTACCTTTATTACGCTGTCAAGGTCTTCTTTGCTTTTTCCCACGATGGAGCCAAACTGTGCCTTTTAAATCAAATGTCACTGCACTTTTTTATCAGGTAAATAGAATACTGATGTTTGTACTTCATGTGTATATGCAAGTAGTCTACAGGTGTCTACATACTTGTATATGTATACATACTTGTGTGTGTGTATATATGTGTGCTCGCACATCCCACAGGAAAATTTCAGGTGGTGTTTCTCAGGTTGCAGTCCACTGTTTTTATTTCTATTTTTTTAAGGAAAGATTTTATTAGTCTGGAACTCACTGAGTAGGCTAGGCCGGCTAGCCTGTGAGCCGTGGGGATCTGCCTGTCTCTATCTTCCCCAGTGTGGGGATTACAAGTGTGCATCACCATGCCCAGATTTTTTTTTTTAAATATGGGTTCTGGGGATTGAACCCAAGCATTTTACTAACTGAAATGTCTCCCCAGACACCGTGATGTTTGTATTTCTTTACGGGGGAAAATTTGAGCTGTTGTGTTGCTTATGATAAGACTCTCAACTTTTTCTTTTTGATCATTGTCCAATGAAAGGGAGATTAAGATTCATTCTACTGTGGTTGTCTATGTTTTAGGTAATCATCATAATTTTTAGGAGAATTAGATGGAAGTTCTTAAAATATACATTTCATGTGTGCACATATATTTGTTTTTGAGATCGATTGCTGTAATTTCTTTTTCTTCTTTCTGTGCAGTTTCCTATTTTTTTCCATCTCTTAGTGATCACCATGTAATGTGACTTTTATTATGTTTCAACTAAGTACGATATTTACATTACTTTGCTCCCTTACCTATCATGAAAACTTAGCAGTATAATATAAACACACATCCTAATGGAGATAACATCTTTCCTTTGAATAGCATTCCTTTGAATAGTTTCTCTTTTTAAAGAGCCCTTCTTAACATTATTCCTCTTCACACATACATATAACATGTATGAGTTTAAAATAATGTTGAAGTTCACTAGTAGAATTTAGCAGGGTAAAACTGAGGAAACACAAAGTGCCAGTGATTCTTGAGAGCACTCGTTCTAAGAGTGTGTGAGCTTAAAGACATGCCCGGGGAGAGGATTACCTTGAGCCTATGCCAAGGCTGTCGCATGCCACAGATAGCGCTGCCTCTTTAGACATGCCTGCTGGTTATTAAATTCCACTCTTGCTTCATCTTCAGCAGTAGCTACTCATTAAGTTTAGTGTGAGAGAGAATGTTTTGAATACTCCTTAACTTGCTTGTCTGGTGGTTATTGCATATATTATGAAAAAGGAAGGGTACTAAGATTCAGAAAAAGACTATTGTCATTCACTATAAAAATAAAAGGAACCTTAGCATTTTTAAAATTCAATACCCTTTATTTACTAAGAAGCATCTTTACCTCTCGCATGGAACTTCCTAAGACATCCCTACTCACAGGTCTGAGTGAAACATTTAGCTGTCTTTATTTCATGAGTTTTCAGAATTATGACCACAGTTTGACAGTCTCCTCTAAGTATCCCCATACATCAATGGTACTATAATTTCTTTACATTGAAAGGTATTTTTTTAATGGACAGGTTTATAAGATAGATCTTTTCTGTATGTTATATGTCACCCCCTTGAGAAAAGATTTAGACATTTTAAACAAAATCCAAGGAGACAAAATATTATAATAAGAATGCATCTCCAGTCTAGACTTCTGCCTACATGTTAGACTTGTAGACAACGTGTTTAATCTCTCCAGGTGTATGAGAGCAATGCCTCAAACCAGCATGCTCAGAGTTGCCCTCTTCCCTATCACTTGCCAGCTCCGCCTTCAGCCTTCCCTGCCCTAGGAGGTCATACCCCCGAAAATGGTTGCTAAGGCAAATAACATGAAATCCTAAAATTACTCTTTGTAAGGAAATCCTGTTAACCCTACCTTAAGGTTCCATCTAAAGTGTGACCACTTCTTGCTATGGCCTTGCCACACTCTGGACCAAGTCATCTCTGTCCTGATTTACAGGTTCAGAAACTACAAGAGGTCCACAATCTAGATGACTGTAAAGTACAATAGTTTTCAGATTTTAGAAAAGTAAACAGATGCATATGCTGTATGCACACTGAAGGACACTGATGTTTCCACATTGAATTGTATTGATGTTAAAGAAAAGAGTGAGCAATTCAGAGAAAATTTCTCAAGGTATACATTTGTTTCCTAGCTCCTCAAATTAGTTCAAAGAATTTTTACTTTGTGCTTTTGTTATCTAAAATTGGTCTGCATGAAAGTTCACAGATTTTTTTAATGCAAGAAAGATTTATGAAACAAGGAAACAAAATTACAAACTTTTATTTAAAATTACAAGTAAGTGGTTGGTATGATAATTGTCATAGTCTTTTGGCATTTTGATTTGGGGGAGTCTTACATTTATCTACTAAACTAACATGGCTTAAGTATCCAAGTATAATATTCCTATATGCTATATTCTTATTAGGATTCTTTTAGTCACCCCATTTATATTCAACATCGCTCTAATAATGAACTCTACTACTGGGACATTCCTACATTTCATGTAAATTCATGGAACTATAATATTGTCATGTACTCGGGTAATGGGCGGTTTGTCACTGGTTCAAGATTCTGTGTTCCATGTACTTAAAGAAATACTTTCAGAAAAAGGCTCTTCAGATTACATAGTTTGTATTTCAGTTGTGGTGGTTATAAGTTACTTCCTCATTCTGATAGCCTTCCAAATGATAATGTTATTTCAGATTATGATTTTTCTCTAACCTTGATATTGGTAACAGCCACTGAAACAGAGCCACAGTCTCTAGAAAATTTGACATCTACATCACTTCTAAGTTTTGAGTCTGATGTGGAGAAATGAGGGGAAAAGCTGGGAAGGAAATATGAAAATAAGGTTGGAGCACTTAGAAATGCTCTCTTCTAAGAAGAGATTGCATTGAATTAGAAGACCTGGTTTTGATTCATACCTCTATTAGTTGTGTGACTTTGGTCAGTTACCCTTCTCTCCACCTCAGTAGATGTACTCTCCCAGGCCTTCTTTTCCATAGAGTGGTTTCTAGAGTCAGAGATAATTCAATTAGAATTTTTATGAATAATGAACTGCTATGAAATGGGAAAGATTATTTATTATATTTCTTTACTATTCCATAATGGGGAAATTAATATATAAATTCACCTTTCACATAAGATATGAAATACTAAGCACATGTTTTAAAAGTCTAGTCTAAGGACTAGTTAATGGAACTAGAAACCTAACCATATGCATATTCAGGGCTAATCTTATAGGCATGATTTGAGCAGTGCCACAGTTCCCCAGCAAAGCATGAAATTCTTGTTCTTTTATTAATGGGACAGACCAGTGCTTCTCTAAGTATGTTTCATAGACCATTTGCTCTCTGAAATGTTATGCAATTTATGCCCTGAAGAGTTCTGAGGCCAAATGCATTTGAGAAATCCTATGTTTAGCCAAATTAAATAGATTTGTTAACTATAAGCCTTCTCAAAACTTCAGTGAGTTAATGGTCACAGATTCTAGGAGATAGCAGTGTGCATCATTCTCCAAATAGATTTAGCCATGG